CCCACCATTGTTGGGGCTGAGGTGCAAAAATTTAGAGAATATGGAACCCTAGGTGCATGGAAATTGCACTCTCATATCTTAAAAATCTTACCGGTAATTCCTATTAACAATATAATACAATTAATTTTCTTATATAACTTATAGGGGTGCGATCACACCGTCTGCCCCCACCCCCACCCTGAATCTGCCCAAGAATATGAGCAATCAAATTAATTTAAGTAATACCATAAGTGATGATGAAAAAATATTTCATAAGTAGCTATTTACCTTGGATATCAAAGTTATTGTTAGTTTTGTAATGTGATCTATTTTCTATATTGAAAGAATTGATTTACTTTATGAATAAGGTAGGTTTTATTTTATTTACTTTACATATTTAAGTAGAGTCCTTTAACATTAGAGGGCCAGCTAATATTCAAGGACTCCTTAAAAATACATTAGACAGCATACAGCAATCAAGAACAACACTTTGTACCATCATCTCTTTTAAAATACTCTAATAGTATTAGATGGCATTCTATTTTTTTCAGCTAGATGTAAAAAAAAGCCTAAAAATTCCATTATCGTTTCCTGTCAGACAATCTATTCTTCAAAAATTAATTACGCTCCATATTTGATTAGAAAATGTCAGAATCAGACGCTTGGGAATTCTAAACATCCACAATCCAATTTTATTTACTTATAAGTATTTTGTTGTATGCTGAAGAGACCGCAGGCCCATATAAGGTATCTCAAAATGATAGAGCCAGCTACTGTACTCCAGGGATCATGGGAAATTTGTAATTAAGACCGGTCTTCACATAAGTAACTTTATGTAAATTCCCTAAATTGTTGTATTTTATGTTTCCAAGACAGTTATGAAGGCAGATAATAACGTCTGACATCAGAGAGTCTTAATTGAATTTTTTTAATGTATAAATACATATATAAAACTCACATTTAATCAATCCACCCATATCTCTTACAAGCTAGCATTATACCAATAGTGGCATATGCCGTACGTTCTTTCCTTGTCGGTCAGCGAGTGGCCTTTCAGTAGATGAAAGAGCAGCTACACGCTTCATGACAACCAATCACTCGACGTGAAACCGCAGATGTTTACATTACTATCATGCCGCTTACAAAGATGAGTGCGGGTTCAACATTAATTATGACTTCATCTCATGGGATGGGTAGGATGATACTCTGGCTAAAAAAGAAGAAAGTATGATAAGGTGATATCCATGAGGTCACTAGTTTAAAGTTCAAAGACTTATTTCCAGTGGGGTCCTTCTGGTGGTAATTAAGCCTTACATTGGAAGACAATTTCTTACCCTTTTCAAAGAGAGTACTGTTTTTAATGTGCAGATATAAGCAAAAATTACTCACACGGCCAACGACCTAAACATCTCTTCTGGGAGTAATGGCACTAGCACTATTGAATCTTGCATTCCAGCATTCTGGCTAAAACCAAAAGAGAGCAGCGATAAAATTCAATTGGGGACAAAAGTTACAAAGTGATCTCTACCGTCAGTTGTTTAGTGCGTACACAGTGGCTATCACAGCTTAGCCGACTGAGCTGTGGTCATGAGTCTTTCAAATTGTCTGTTTTTCAGGTTGATGGTTGCTGCACGTTTATCCTTGAGGAACTCCTCTTCAGCACTCGTTTTCAAACAAATGTAGGTGTAGTGTTGTACTGTCATAGGTCTTGTTCTAGGAGATTAGGTTGTCTTTCGATGGTAGGGGTGTCAGTAGTCACATGCCTAGTGAATGTAGGTATGTCAGAGAAAATGACAACATCTATAGATCCTGTAGTTCAATGTAATGTTTTTAAAGCTTCATAAAGATCTTAGTGTCATAAATTGAGATTTAAGTATTCCTTGTTTGAAATATTAATATTTTGATTATTTTTTTGGTTCTACAACATGGACTGGATGGATTAAGTGACCATCCTCACAATTTTCTATTGTTGGACTGCTACAAACGGTTTTATTCATCCATGAAGGATGCGAAACCGTATATGTTTTTTTATTACGTTTTACACAGCTGGTCAGGTCACAAGGGTAGTTATAGGCATAAAGATATATAGAGACTAAGAGTTTTCACTATTCAGAGTTTAGTACATGCTCATTATATATTCCCATTTGTCCTGTTCTTCACCTTATATGGAGTGGTTTTCTTATATACTGTATCAATCATGGATGGTCACTGATATGCATGCTGCTAAAGCCATGCTATTACAACACCCAAGCATCTACTTAGGATGTTTGCATTTTCTAGTACTTTGTCACTGACTGCAAAGTCAGGCAACGGATTATATTAAATAGGCACCCTGGAACATTTACAAAAATTGAATACTATATACCAAACAGTTTAAAACGTGCATTTCTCATTTGGAATTAAAAAAAAAAAAAAAAAAAATTAAACTAAGAACAATGAATAAACATAGACAAACAAGTTATTTCCATCAGAAGGATTTTTAAAATAATATAAGCAATATATTTTTATGTCTGTTGTGAACAATTTTCTCAGCCATTTGCAAAATATAGAACATACATCTTGATAAAATATTCTGTACTGCTTTATCATGTATTATATTATTTCAAGACAAACAATGAACTTTAATACAAAATTAGAGACATGTCAAATTGGCCTACATTTCTTCTCGCATTTGAATTTCTAATAAGGAAGCACCTTCAATTCAAATTTACCAGTTTCTCTTAGTTTTCCTACGGGCTATCAAGCCTCTTTCATGTGTATTATTGCAAAATTTAACATGACAATCTCGCTTATGTTACAGCAATTTTACTTACACACAAAGAAGCATAAACGTCTGCATATATATTTAGACTGCAGACGAAAATTTGTTCGTGTTTAAAATTCATGAGTTTTTTTTGTGACGACACACATAGCAGAATAAAAAAACAGGTCATAAATCGTATTGTAAACCTATGCTAAGAGCAATACCTCTTCATAGGCAATGCGTTCAACTTAGTTGTTCAGTATTTTAATACATGCATTGCAAACGATATTGACTTATTGGCTTACGTACTGCAGTACAATACCGATTTTTTTTTTATCGGAAAAACTGTATATTTTGGTGAATTTCAAGATTGTTAAGGAGTTTGTATCTGGTAAGGAAATGTTACAATCTTATAATTATTTCTTTCCTAATAATTCATTGTCATTTCTCATGTATTTCTCGTTGTAGTTGTATAGAATAATAATTGAACTTTTATGTGTATATCTGAAAGACATTTCCACATGTCCATGAAAAGTTCCATCTGGCTAGGCTACAGAAGAGAAGACAGTGGATGGAATCAAATTTTGCGAAAAACATACCATGCCCCTCAGGAATATAAAAGGTCAGATAAGAGGTCAGGCCTAAGCCATCAATTATGCAAATGAGGTAGATTACAGCATTTGGTTGAGATTTGTGTCTGTTGTAAGGGAACACAACAAAGATGTGCTGAGTTTTCTGACAAAATCTTTTGTTATTTGTATAATTCGAAAGGTTCTTTTTAATCTTAATGAATCCCATATGTCGTATTTGATTTGTCCTCCCAAAGTAGCATACATAATGAGTAGGCCCCAGGTTTATTTTCATCAGTGTCAATATTGAGTGAATAACTAGGTATTTACATACACACTCTGTAATTAGTATACATTTGTACAATGCATATCTGTTCTTGTCAGTATTATAAACCATGTTAAATACTCAAGAGATATCTTACTGTGTTTAAATTTGAATGAAATTAGATTATATACATTTTCTAAAAAAATCAATACAGGCCAGCCCTATATATGCAAAATTTGACTTTGTGTATACATTATATAGTAAAACCATTTCAGAATGACGTTTTCTCTGATTATTATGACAGCTTGTCAATGTCAGTATTATTTTATTGTACAGTACTAGCATGGTTAAAATTTAAAAAAACAAAAAAAAAACAAAAAAAAACAGAATTTGGAATTCCGTTGTTGAATATGTTGTATAGTGGCAATTCCAAAATTGACAGCATTCATTTTGAAAAGAAGCCCACTCTATAGCAAAGGTAATCCCGAATATGAAGTCCATCTCGAAAAAGGCCCATCTCAAAAAGAAGCCCCTTTCAAAGGTCCTAAAAAAGAAGCCCAGGGCTTCTATTCAAGGTTTTATGGTAGTTTAAAATGTTGCTATTTTGTTTATTATAATTACGTCATTATAGTGTCTGAAGTCATGTTATGGTTTTAGCTTTGTAAGTAAGTCCCTTCTATAACATAAATGATTTTTTATAAAATTATGTAGAAATTAATGCGATAGGATAGGAGGAGGAGTCAGTTGTCCCTAGTTTGGCTAGCACCAATGTTTACTATGAGTTGGAACATAAAGTAAACAAGTACAGGAAGTATTTTCAAAATAGTATTATGTTTGCCTCTAGTATTTGGCATTCTTCTAGACCAGCCTATCCCTGATTCAGATGTGATAGTTTCTGTGTACTGGTACATCATGTAATCAGTATGCATATTAATAATACTGATATTGTTTGATAACCTCTTTTTATTGGTTGGATGTGTTTTTTACTTCAAAAATTTAGTGCCAGCTGCTTTTTATGACAGACCTGGTAATTCTTTAGCTGAATACAAAATAATTTCTTTGTAGATAATAACATCTGGTTCATTTTCATACCAGTATTCAACATTTTTATACCAAGAATATATAAATTGAGTGTGAATGAAAAAGAAAAAATACAATATAAATGGAATGGTCAGTGGTCATGTACTTATATAGTGCTTTCCACAGTAAATACCGACTCAAGATACTATAAATTCGTGACAAAATAACTCTGAAATAAGTTGATTTGTTAAAAAAAATGCTGTCATCAGTAAAAACATATTGACTGAGAATTGATCAAGAATCGTAATTTATTAATATACCAATCCATTGTACCTTCATTTTGTATGATATTCGTGGTAATTGGGTTTCTGTTTCTCTAGTATTATTGCGACTTTCTATCTGTGGAAGTAGACACCCTATTGCTAACCATGTGTTAAGTGCTATATGATACGGACAAATTGAATTATTTTCATGCTCTCCAAATCTTATTACGTGCAAGTCTTATTTCTGAAGGCATTGAGGCAAGTTAGGGTCTACGGATGCATGAGTGATAGTTAAGCTGAGGTTGAAGTGATTAGGCCTACATACATCGTCTGAAGGAAGTTAGGCCAGGAAGGAAGTTGTTATATCATGGTTGTATATTAGCAGATGTATTTTCAAACTCTTCTTGGTGTAATAATGCTTATCTGTAGTGTACTAAAGCTTCTGTAGGGTCCCAGGGTGCAGTGAAGCAGTTAAGGAGTTAAGACTTGTGGTGGACTGCGAGTAACAACCCAGGCATAACACAGCTTGATACAATTACAAACCCTACTGGGTTTTGGTATGCAAATTAGGTGACAGTTGGTGGTAAACTGTGGTCAGAGTGAGCAGAAACAAAGGGATCTTTAACAGGCACATTCAGTTTCGGATTTTCAGATTGCAAACAACTCTTTGATGTTGGAATCTTTTCCTATTAGGATGTTATATTTAGGATGGTGTTGCAAATATGTTTGATACGCCTCCAGGCTGGTTATTACAAGTTGTAGAGCAAAGGAAATCTTCTAAGATAAGTGATAATAAAAGCTCTCATTGATATTCTGAATAAACAATAGAACTTAAAAGTGAATGCTTGAGGAAGTTTGTCAATAGCAAGTTTCTGTAAAAGCCTTCTAATCAAGGAAATAAACAAAACATTGTTAATGTATGTGGATAATTTGAATTCAGTTATAATTTGGAGATGATACAGTGAGGACCTAGCGTAAAGGACTTAGAACATTCCAGTGAGATATTAAGTAAATTTCACGAAAGCATGATGATTAGCGGTGGTTTAGCGATGTCCCAGATGCAAACGCCGATCCATGCGACAGCGCAGTACTCAACTCCAATGCATGCTACCGTCCAATCGCAGATTAGTCCATCACAACTGGTTTATTGCGCATCTTATCCACAGAATGGAACAATATTACAAATGGCTGGTAAACAACAAACGGCAATGGTAAGAATAAGATACCAAATTTTACCGTATAAGAGTTAATGATGCTTTTTGACGAGATATAGTAAACCTAAATCTTTTAAAGGGTTGACATTGATATGATATTTATTAGGAATCGCTTTAGAATCAATGACACTCGCTCGTTTCTGAGTGGTGCATCCAAAATACAATACAAAACGAAATACAGTAATACAAGTTGAATAAAATGAAAGAACTTAATATATAACAAAGAGAGAAAAAAAATGCATATATTCTTAACTAATATTTCATAAGGTAACCACAAAGGGTCCTTAATAACAACTAAGGATCCCTTGTGATTTTCTTATGAAGGGACTTTAATTAAACTATTGAAAATAATCAAAATATGTAGCAAATATTACAACAAAAATATACAGATATGTATAGTTATGGGGATGATTAAACATTACTTTACCATTGACATGAGGTCAGTCTTAATATTTATAAATGTACTAATGGTACTATTGCATAGTACCTTTATATAATTCGGACCTAAGTCGCCATGCATTTGTTAAATATTGTCTACACTTCTTATCTACAATTTGACCTAAAATTGTTCTAAAAGGTTTATTTTGTTGGGTAAGCAATTTACTAGACATTGGCATACATTATTGTTTCTCAGTACTGGTAGAGCCATATCACTGTGATATTTAAAAAAAAAACCCAAAGAATTTTGAATAAGAGTAGTTGCTATTAGTTGCAGCTCTGAATAATGCGAGAGGAGCCATGATTTAACATTTCGACCTTTGGGTCATCTTGAGCAATGCTAGTTGTCTATTTTAAATAACAGAATCTTTGCTAATTTTTTTTGTGTTACCTTTCAACATGTTGTGCATTTGGGAAGCTGTTTTAATGTGTAGAACAGGAAAGTAATTAATGCACTCCATATGTGGGTGATGGATGACTGGATTATGAGTCCGTCATGAATAACAGGTGTGCAGAGTAAAGCAAAATGGACACAGTGTAGTTAGGAAGCGCTAGTTTATCATAATAATAGAGTGTGCATAGATTTGGAAAAAAGAGTTCTATTCTTACATACTGTAGGGGTTCATTTGGCCTAAGCTATTGTGGTAGTTTCTTGTAATTTATAGATAAGGCCTAATAATAAAAATTACTAGTTTTTCGTCTCCACGCACACTCATTTTCCCTACCTCACCAATTTTTTTTCTATTTCCGTTAATTTTTACGAAATGTACAAAAAATGTGGCTAACTCTTGGATTTGGATTTGCCATCTCGGAGTTTTAAAAAAATGTGCCCTCATTTTCCATTTTTTTTTTTTTAAATATTAGGATGAGAAACTATTGTTTTTGAACTTTGTCTATCTTTTGGGGCAAGTAAATATTGAATTGAAAAATTTTTGTGTGTGTTTTTGATGAATTTATTTTAATTATGGTGTTCACTCTGTCTGCTAATTTTTTAAATGGAAAAACTACAAGATAGATAAAAGCAAGTTTTCCTCAACAGTTTTGCTTTTGACATTTTCTGACATTATATGTACTTTGTTTTTGTTTCATTTCATAATACCATCCTGTAAATTCAACAATCTAGAAACAGCATGGTTTTGTTTCTCCACATCAAATCAAGTGTATTTATAGTTGTTGACTCATATCAACAGTCTATTAATTCCATACCATAGTCTTATTGTTTACTTCAAGCAATAGATTCCTATTCTATAACAACAGACACAGTAGTGTTCAGTGTCTGTGCTGTCACTCTCATTCGTTAATCTAAATGTAAACTTACTGGTTAATGTTAATGTAAGTGGCAAAGATATTTGAGTCAGGTTTTCTACAAATTATTTGTGAACATAGTAAGTTTGAAATTGAATCACAATGGATTCTTGCTTTCGTCACTCCGTATATGGTTTCATTGTACTCTCTTACTTTTTACCATAAATGAGCGTTCAACGCCCTAATTTCCTACTAATTAAGTAATAGATTGAACATATGAGATTATGCATTGGCAGCTATTCCTATTTGCCTTCTCAGTTCTTGCTCTTAATGTGTGGCCACCAATGAATAATCTACTCTATTCTGCATGCATCTTGAAGTAGCTCTCAAGCTAGTTGAACTTTCGGTTGTTTCACATTTACATATAAAGTTCAAATTTTAAAAGGTTATTGAACTTAGAACCATGTATGATGTGAATTGGAGTGAATTGATTTTTAGTGACATGTTTAACTCAGACATTTAAGTATTGTTCATCAAAATGAGTCTAAGAGAAAAAATAAGAAATAAAACAAAATATGAACAAATTGAGACTAAGGTAAATTGTCAAATGAGGTTTTTATTAAAACAAAAATAACAACAAATATTATACCTTATTTGTAGTCCATGTAGTGACTATGTAATACCCTCTATAGTACATTACAGTATACACTGTTGTGCAATAATAAATTTAAAAATTGTGTCAAAATAAGAACAAAATAAGAACAAGTTGAGCCTAAAATTTGCAAAAATATAAGGACACTGAGCCTGGGCAAAATTTTACTGGTTCTTTATAAAAAAAAAAAGTTAATTTGCTTTAAGAATCTCCAACGCTCTGCTAAAGCCGATTCTGATAGCCACTTTACTACCGGTTTAAAAGGTTTTTTTTTTCACTCTGCTTTTTGTTGACTCGAAAATTCCTTCATCCCATGATTGCCTAATCAAAATATAGTCCTATACACAATAGTGTGTAAGTTGTGAGATGGTTTACTTACAGTACCTTTATAATAATGAAGCACAGATATAGAGTGGTGCATAAACTTTCCACCAATTAAAGAATTAGGGTTGAAGTCTTTAGTGGATACTTATTTGTATTCTTTGGCAAGGGACTCTCCACTCAGGAGTAATATAAATGGGTAAAATATAGGTTTAGAATGCCAGTGTGCTGGCTAATTCAAGACTGTTAAGGTATTCGATATTATAGGTGCTAGATCCAACGACCAGGGGAATAATTTGAACACCAATATAGAGGCCTTTGCATTTCACTGCTTTTGTATAAACTGACATTATTATTAAGTGAAGTAAATAATCATGCAAATAAACTTTTAATTACAGGATGAAAACTGCCTGATTAGATGTTAATTCACAATCAATGAGCTATGAATTTAAATTAAGATGACTGGAATTGTTAATGATAAGTAAATAATTTTAGAACTGCTAAGGAGGTGACTACTCCTAAATAGTTTATTAACTATGGGTGTCCTTTATGCATCTCATTTCAAAGACCAGCTGTGGTATAATAAACTTTGGAGTGGTGAACTAAATAGTACTCCTCCCATTTTCTATTGTTTACTATATTTATTTTCTCTATTGTTTATTGAGATATACTGTTGTGAAATATTAATGATTATTAGTCGAATATTAGTCATTAAAATTAATATGAGCTACCAACCCATTTACAGTATTTACTTTGTAAAATCAATTCTGGCAAGGACTTCAAAATTCAGTTAAAACATGGAACTGTTTTTTTGTTCGAATAAAAGTATCAAACATATTTTTACTTTCCATTGATGAAAACATAGGCCTATATTGGAACTGTTTCAGTTTTAAAAGAAATACAATCTTTATAATTATAGAATGCTTAAGCTATTAAACTTATTCACCAGAATAAAAGTATCAAGCAAGTTAGTAACTTCCATTGATGATAGGCCTATATTGGAACTGTTCAGTTTTAACAGATACAACCTTTTTATTATAGAATGCTTAAATTTATTTACCAGGAAATTTAAGTGTTTATGCGAAGTATAAGAACTGTATTTATATATATATAGGCCTATCTGTATTTCTTGTTCTAATTATCAATTGAAGTTCAATCAAAATGTAAAGCTGATCAGGGATTTTGTTATGGAGGGCAGAGGTGGTCGGGCCACCCAGCCTTGAAGTATTTCACCCAGTCTAATACTAATTTCATGGCCCTCCACCTACCTTTTATTAACCCCCTTGCCCATCCTTACAATTCACTCTTTAGAAGTTTCGAAATCACCCACCCGCCCTTAAATGTCTTGCACCTACATCCTTAGTTTTCTACATTTACAACCCTGCTGATATATTAACTTCTCTTTGTAAAGTTCAAAGTAATCATCAATTTAGTGATTATATGTTATTGTTAAAGTTTAATAGCCTCATAATCACAGACAATGTCACTCCCATTTCCGTAGCTTCAAACTATTTGCTCATTATTGTTTAACAACTATTACGACATGATCCAAAACATTCAGTTATGGTTACCAAAGAGATAGTTGATTGTGGACACAAGATAAGGAAACTAAACATATGGAAGATAATTCTTTAATGACAGTAAGGCGACAAGGGATTGAACATAGTCTGGCCAGGAGGAGTCAGTCATGCTGCTCCGAAGTCCTTAGTAATCTCCATTATGAGCTTATTACACAGGATAATGGTATAGGCAGCAAACAGGAGTTCGTATCACTTGCGCTATGTGCTGTATGTAGTACTAATGTATAAAATATGTACGTATTTGTACTGATTTTCGAGCTAAAGAGCATTCTTGTAAATGTACAGTAATACAAGATGAACCTTTACAACCAGTTTTGGTATATGCACTTAACTATAATATTCTCATTCATATATGTAACTTATCGAAAAACATAAACAACAGATGACCTACCCGGTGTTAAACCACAGGTTTGCTTCATTGAGATTTCTTTCAGTTCTATACAGAGTATACTCTATAATAAAATATAGATGATATAAAAAATGTATCTTATACTTGGTTCATTTTGAAGAATAAGTGTGCATCTCTGATCAAAATAGCAATTAAATAAACTTTAGTATAAAAAAAGTTTTATGGTCTATAATAATTGCATTTTATTATTTTTTTAGTCATTTTCATTTTCAATTTCATTTATTTGTTACCCCTCAAAAAGGTCCTAGGACTGCCAATGCAGAAGTCTGCGTTTATAATTAATTCTTTCTCAGTCATTATAGCTCAAACTTACTTTTTATTGTCCTTCGGCTAGCATTGTGCCTGCCTTTTT